CACGCCGGGCGCATGTGCGTGCGTGCCCAAGATCCCGAGAGGAGAATGGAGGAGAAGGGATTGCGGCGTGACCATCCCCCCTGGGGGGTGATTTCTCGCTTTCTGTCTCTCTGTCTCTCTCTGTCTGGCGAGAGCACGTGCCCTATAGCGAAAACCTCTCCCCCCCCAAAAAAAAAAAGCCGTCCATATGTACAATGCTGTGTACACACACATATATACACCTACATGCATATCCACATATATATATATTTGGTAAACCATATACACAGCATATGTGAGTACATACATGCATACGCACACCTCACATGCAATGCATATAAATACACATACATGTGACCACTATAGATATAGTATAGATATTACATAGAAAACCACACACAGATACCCTATGTAGGTATCACATACTTACTACACACACATGGCACATTCACACACAAAAAATGTGTACAAATCCACGCACCTTTCACTCACATCTTCCTGGGTTAGGCTCTGTCCTAAGGCCCCAGGCCAGGTCTGGCTGCCACTACCAGAAACATCCACCAGATGGCACTCTTTTGCCATTCCCAGTACTCCCCAAGTGTTGCCAGTAATGTCTCTTTTGGCCAAGGCATAAAACTTGCGGCGCCAGGTGTACCTCAAGCGTTCCCCACACACACACCAGCCCGGGAAGCGTGTCCTTGGTCCCCAACGCGTGCAATCGCAAGTCGGGTTCATACTCTCGGGCCTCCAAGCTTCTTTTGGAGGAGCGGTTTCTTCCCTGGGGTTCCAGTTCTGTGATCACATTGACCCCCGTTCACTACGGAGCCAAGGGCTGGGCTTCCCCTGGACACCCTCGGTGCAGACCAGCACGGCTAAAGGACCCTTCCTGCTACCTTCGTGGGAGTGAGCAGCCAGACGCAGCAACCCCATTTCCTTGATAGTCCCAGGAGGGTCACTTGCACACACCTGGCACACACTCCTGTACACAGAGCCCTCTCCTTGGCTTACTTCTCACACTGCCCTGCAGGCAGAAGAAACGGGCACCAAGCCCGAATCGGCCAAAACAATGGCCCAGCCGGAGACGCGGGTCTGGCTTGGGAGGATCTGGGCCCTGTCAACCGTGCCAGCCCCAGTGGGGTCTTGACAGGATCTCCCTGTCCGGGACGGAAGACCGCGCGTTCGCTGCTTGCTGCTTGGAGCTTCAAACTACTTAAACTCTCAGAGGTGGGGGAAGCAAGGTGGGACCCACGAGCACTCCCGCCTTCAGGCCTGGGCTATTCTGGGTCTGCTCTCTGGAACCTCCTGTCTCTGATGTGAGCAACGAGGATGAAAAACTCGGAGAAGGCTTGGAAACCCGCCGGGAGGCGGTTGCGCCCCCCGCCGGGAGGCAAAGCCGGGAGTTCCGGCAGCCGCGCGGCTCGCCCGTCCCCCTCCCCTTTCGCGCCCTGGGAGCAGCGGGAAATTATTTATTAAAACGCCTCCCGCGCTCTCATTTATTTGCGGTGAATAATCCTCAGCATTTCAGCGCGTTTATTAAACCTTTCCCGTCCCCGCGCCCGCATTACTTTAATAATAAATCGCGTGTCACTTTCCAGCGACATTATTAAAGCCCGTCCGCTGCAGAGAGGCGGGGTGCAGGAAAGGGGGGGTGGCAGGGGTTCCTCCCATTGCAGGCTGTGGGGGGCTGAGACAGCCGGGCAGTGGCGGAGGAACTGAGGCTGCAGTCTGCTCCAGAACTCCTAGAATCCGGAGACGCGATCGAGGAGCACGGATTCCCCAGGACGCATGGGACTCTCGGACCCTCTCCGGTCGGTAGGGCTCCGGGCGTGGAGCCTCTGCTCTGCAGGTGGGCGCGGCAGGATCAACAGGCCCGCAGGGGGCGCCTTCGAGCTCGGCTGGACCCGGAGCAAGCCAGGGGCAGGGACTCTACCCCACGTCCCCTCTTTCAGCCCAGAGCAGCATTCCTCCTGTCCCGACGCAGAACTGCGCTCCTCCCGCCCCGCCCACACCGCTGCTTTTGCGGTCGCCTTGGAATTCGCTCCAAGTATCCAACCCGCTCGCGCCGTCGTGGTGTCTCCTGGGCCACCCGGCTCCAGCCAGGGCTCGGCAACGAAAATCGTCCTCTGGCTCCGAGGCCGAGGGCCAGGCGGCAGCAGATGGAGTAGTGCGTAGTAGAGCTAGGGGAGGCCAAACCCCGGGGCTGGGGTTCCGGACCACACCCCTCCCAAGAAGCTGGGCTCCCAGCGTTGGGCCCCAGAGGACAAACTCAGACGGCGAGCCAAGAACAGTCCCTCCCGCGGTGGCGCCAGGCTCGGGCGGAGCCCATGCGCGTAGGAGGCCACAGCCATCCACACAGCGACTCAGCCCGGCCGACTGACGCTTTCATTCTCTCCTGCAATCATTCTGCAAACACCGCCTCACTAGTGTCCCTGGGCTAGGCAAGGAGAACGTGGGGAGGAATTTGGGGGGAGAGGATCAAAGAGCGGAGAGTTCTGGGAGGTGAAGAGGGACACCCAGTCACATAGGGCAGGTCACTGAATAGGGCAGATAGGAAACAGGCTTCCCTCTCTGGCTTTGGGTTCCACCTAAATGGATGAATTGCTTTGGGAGGTGGGAGTGGTGTGCCCCATTCCCTTCTCTAACCTGGTCTTACTTTTACCATTTAGGAGTCCCCACCCACAATGACCTGGCTCCCTGCTCTGCCTGGGCTGGGGATCAGAGTAAAATGAACAGAGGGGCAGGCTGTCTCCCTTTATCCCAGCCCCTAACGGAGAGCAGACTGAAAGCACACCTCCCTCCAGCCAGATGGCTCCAGCCCCCTTCTCTGGAGGGCAGGAGGCCTGAGCTCAAGCCTGCTCTGTCCATCTGGTAGGCATGTGCCTACGGATCAGGACCTACCGCTTCTGGAAGCCGGCTCCTTCTCCTTTCCGTGTGGGAGGCCTCCCAGGACTATGTGGCCTTCATTGCACGTCGTTGCTCATCACTGATCTTTTAGCTGGGTTGCTTATCATTTTTTAAAACTATTTATTTTATTTGTTCATTCATTTAATTTGACCAGAGAGAGACAGAGAGAGAGAGAGAAGCAAGCCACCAGGTCCAGGACTCGAATCATGGTTGGCCATGTGGGAGTGTCCACCTGCTGGCCCCTATAAATCTTTATTGGTGCCTACTGTGCCCGGTCCTGTGCTAGGCTTTGTCCAGTACAGAGTGGCATGAGGAGCTGGCCTTGCCCGCCCTACTGCACTGACCTAACCCATGCCACACTGATCCCTCTTGTACAGCAGATGGCGCACACACAGGCCGCAGTCCGTGAGCGCACCTGGGAGCTGGGAGACGGCCACATTTCTGAGATGAGTTTTGAGTTAGGATAAATAAGCTAGGTCAAGCCTGGGGACCAGGAAAATAAGAACAAGGGCCAAGGTTAGTAGGAGCGCAGTCCGGAGAGACAGGCTGAGCAGGGCTGGAGAGAAGGCTGAGGGAAGGGGAAGAAGATCCTGGTGTCGGCTCTTCTTGGCTCCTCTTGCGTATGCTCGGGACCCACCCCAGCCTGGGGCCAGCAGCCGCTGCTGGCTTGAAAGGCTGGGGCC